GGGAACGGTATCTGATGGCCATATTTCACCCATCAGATACCGTTCCCCCTGTTTTAATGTGGGGGAACGGTATCTGATGGCCATATTTCACCCATCAGATACCGTTCCCCCTGTTTTAATGTGGGGGAACGGTATCTGATGGCCATATTTCACCCATCAGATATTGTTCCCCCACTGTAAAACAGGGTGAACAGTATCTGTTGGGTGATTTATGGCCATCAGATACCGTCCCCCCATGTTAAAATCACCCATCACGTACCGTTTCCCCTATGTTAAAATCACCCATCAGATACCGTTTCCCCTATGTTAAAGGGGGGGAACGGTATCTGATGGGTGATTTATGGCCATCAGATACCGTTCCCCCACTTTAAAACAGGGCAAACTTCACGAACAGCCCAACAACCTGAAGACAATCTGTTAGTGAGTGGATATCTCTCTGGTGGAGTGCAGAGAGGAACTGTCTCTTATCAACAGAAACATAAACTGGATAAGAAATGATGGATCTGAATATCAGGTTGGTCTGTTATGTAATATCTGGCAATCTACCTGTTAAAAGAAATGTACTCTATCATATTACATGAACTACATGCATTGATACAGGCTTTACCTTCTCCACCTTGTACTTTGAACAATTTCATGCATATAGTATTGAAGAAAAATGTATTAAGCATACTGCATTTTGTATTGCACAGCTGATATGTTAGACCTTTAAATAAGCAATGTGAATGAAAGTGACATGTGAAACATGCACATTATTCAACGTTGTAATACGTTTTGTAATTATGGTGCACGTTTTGAAATAAATGCATTTGAGAAAATCATAGAACCTCTCCCAGATTCAACATGGTGTCCCACTGCTTTATACTGCTCTGTGTTTGGAACCTATAGCTCTTTGTGTCTACATGTGGATGTTTTTGCTGAAACACTTTTAGTTTTAGTTTTTGTTTGAACAGAAACCTGTTTTTTTATTTTTATTTTGTCATACATCTGCTGAGTTTCTCAGTCAAGTGCTATCGCTAAGTTTCAGTGGGCTATAATTTGAAGGAAGTGATAGAGTTCTTTGTAGAGTTTATTACTGTTGACAGTGACCTGCTTTGACACTCATTTGACATTAAACTCAGTTGGTCTTATTTTACAGAAACAGCATTATTTATCATATCCTGACGTAGGGCATGCACATTCCTGAATTTATATCTGTATGTATGTAAAGGTTGAAGAAACGCTCATTTGATCTGTCTGCAACACCACAGTGTTTGACTAACATTGATAAGACAGCTGTGTTAAATGCAGTCCTTTTCTTCTTTATCTTTTTGACAGTTATGTGCCATTTTCTCATTTTTAATTCTGTAATAATCCTTATGAACACCCTGCTGAGAACAGTAAGTACAGCCATGTAGCAGTGGAAGAACCTTGCACAGATTTGTGAGCAGACGGCCTGACCGCTGAGAGGACAACAGTCCTGAAGGTTTCAGTTTAATTAACTGATTAAGGGAAACTCTCCAAATCTAGAACACTTAATAGCTGTGTTTCCATTAACCATATAATTGTTCAGGTTGATGTATCAAAAATTAATTTGCTTAATGCAGGGTTTCCACAGGGTAGTGGATGGTAGTAAATAAAGAGCTGAATATCAGGTTGGTCTGATATTCAGGTTGGTCTGATATTCAGAACTTGCACTACTGGTACTGGTACAGTACCAACAGGTACTGCGCTACCAACAGTACCTGCGCTACTGTTGGTAGCGCAGGTTCTGGGTTCGATTCCCGACCTGGGGTCTTTCTGCATGGAGTTTCCATGTTCTCTCTGTCCAGCTTCCTCCCTGGACTGTCAGGTTGATTGGTCTGAGCTACATAATCCTTAGGTGTATAACTTGTGTGTGTGCGTGTGATTGTTTGTCCTGTTTGTCCCTGAGTTGCCCTGCGATGGACTGGTGATCTCTCCAGGTTTTAGAACCAACAAAATGATCAAACCTTTACAAGAAGACAAAAAGAATATTATGAGTGAAATGTTTTTGGACAAATTATGGAAAATAAATAAATGTGGCCTACGACAAAGGTAAACATTTAAGTCGTTGGTGCCATTCTGTTGTGGAAATTCTATGAGAAAAATGCAATTTTATATATATTGTACTATCATATTTAAAAACATTTCTCAGGTCTTTATCATTTTTTGGCCAAAGTTATAAAAATAAAGTTCCTAAGTATCAATTTTACAAAATATTTTTTGCTGCAGTTGTGACACTATTGTCAGTAGAATTTGCTCATTGTGATATTAATGAAGGACTCTTCTATTCTATCATGTCAGCAAGTCTCAGATCTCTGAATGAGCTTTCTGACACCTAGATAAAGAATAAACTCTGTTCTGAAAGGAGAAGTGGTTTCAACCCTGGGCTAGCAGGCTACTCTTGATAGGGTGTCTGGTGATAACATCTTACGCTGTTATGTAGATTTATATATGTATTGTGAAGATATCTTGGTGGGTTGTTGGGTATTAAATAGGGTAGGCAAGAATAAGCTTGGCTTTAGCCTATTCTGTTTTTTGTAAATTATGGGCTTCTTTATTGTTATTTTTGTTGTTGTTGTTTTCTGTATTTAATGTGGACAATTTACCAAAATAAAGTGATTGATTGATTGATTTATTGATTGAAGTGGTGTAACGTTCAGTATTGTTGCTTTACACCAAAAAGGTTTCCAGGGTTGAATTCAGTTTAAAATTCAAAAATACTTTATTGATCCCAAAGGGATAATAATGTTGTTGTGATTCAAATTATTCAAGACTCTTCAAAGAGTTGTTGTAAACGGTGACGGCTGTGGCAGGAAGGATCTCCTGTAGCAGTCTGTGTTACAGCGAATTTGAAGAATTCTCCGACTGAAGACTGTTTTTCTATGACTAACTACTAAAGAAGATTTAGAAGATTTTGGCTTTGCAGGCCTCTGATTACACTTGGCATCTTGTGTTTAAATGCACAGTAAAAGCACAAGACAATGAAATGAGGATTATAATAATTTGGGTGAGTGAGCATACTTGTCTCTGTGGTCTGACCAAAACCAAAACTTAAACTTCGTCCTGCTGAGCTACACTAAACTGTAAAGTTTTTTTTTTTTCTTCAGTGACATTAATCTGCATTGTTGATTTCCTGTGCAGGACCCAGACCTTCAGCTCCATATGGCTGTGTATGATGAGAACATCCTGAAGAATACTTTTTACTTGGCCTTGGAGAAGCAGAGACCTGACCTCTGCAGGCGCGTGGCAGACTTCCACGGCATTGTGAGTCATGTGCGGTCTTTCTTTAAAAGTCCCTTCTGTTTACAACTTGTTAATATTTGCATCAAGTTGACGACTTTACAGCAATCACTTCCTCTGAACATTCATCATGGATGTTCAGAATTGAAGGTTGGGACACAAGTTACAGAAATGCTTATTTTGTTTTAAAACTCTTTTAGGAAAATGCTACAAAAAACAAAAATACAAAGAATTTACAGTTGAGATCTTTTTATTCATTAAAAAGCATGACTGCTACCTTTGCTCCAATTACCTGTACTACATGTACTACTAACTGAGGTCCACTAACAGGATTTCTAAGGTTTTTTTGGTAACACTTTATTTGAAGGGGGGTGAAAAAGACTGTCATGACACTTTCATAAACATGACATAACACATGTCATGAACATGAATAAGCCTTCATGAATATTTATGACTGTTGTCATAAAGTTCTATTCGGTAAATTATGACGCTTTTAATACAAAGTTGACATTATTCAAAATGTCTTTATGACAACTTGACATTAACCAAGAAATCATTACTGTTTAAACTTTACCTTTAATAACATAAAGTTACCTATTTTTTAAAGTGCAATCAGTAATACTTTTATAACAAATTTATATCAGTAATGATTTCTTTGTTAATGTCAAGTTGTCATAACAAAGACATTTTGAATAATGTCAACTTTGTATTAAGTGTCATAATTTACCGAATGACACTTTATGACAACAGTCATAAATATTCATGAAGGATTATTCATGTTCATGACAGGTGTTATGTCATGTTTATGACAGTGTCATGACAGTCTTATTCACCTCCCTTCAAATAAAGTGTTACCGTTTTTTTTAATGAGTCAAATGCTTTTTGTACGACTCCTCTCCTGGTAACTGGGGATCAGAGGAGGGTAGAGCGGCAGAAAATTGAATGAAAGTAAGAGTATCGATACTTCAACATGTTTTTACTCAGAAGTAAAAAGTAGCTGTCCAAGAAATTACTTGTAAAAAAGTATTTGGTAAAACATCTACTCAAGTACTGATCAAATTATCAATCAATTAATATTTTAAAAAGTACATAATTTTTATGTAGAAATGATGTAAGTTTTTACCAAATTACCAAAAGTTAAGTTGAAATTTTGGTATTTTAAGAACAAAATTGACTTTTGACTGACTGACTGACTGACGCACACACACACATGCGCGCAGACACACACGCACACATGCGCGCAGACACACACATGCGCACGCACACACACACACACAAACACACACACACACACACACTTACTTGATTTTACCCTCAGGGAAACTGTAGTTCAGTTTTCCACACAGCACCAATACATCAAATCCTTAAACAATGTTGTTTTTTTGTTTTTTTTGTTTTTTTTTAACATTTAGCCTAATTCTATAGTTCCTCTATTTCTATTGTATTCCTGTTAGCCAGTGAGGACTTGAAGAGTTTTATTGCACGAGGCACAAAGGAGTTCCTTAGTCTGTTGTTCCTGCACTTTGGAAGAAGCAGTCTCCCACTGAATCTGCTTTCCTGGCTGCTGATGACAATGTGCAGAGGGTGGCTGGTGTTGTCCATAATATCCTCGAGTTTCTGTAGGGCTCTCCTCTCTGCAACTGCTGCCACAGAGTCAAGCCTTGTGCCAAACACTGAGCCGGCCTTCCTGATTTGCTTCTCCAGCTTAGAAAAGTCTGTCATAGAGATGCTTCCACCCCAGCACACCACAGCATATAAGAGAACGCTGGTGACAAGAGACTGGTAAAACAACCTCAGCAGCTTTCCACAGATGTTAAAGGATCTCACCCTCCTCAGGTAGTACATCCTGGTTTGAGCCTTCTTATAAAGCTGCTTGGTGTTGCTTGTCCATTCCAGCTTGTTGTCCAGCCACAGGCCAAGATATTTATAGGTCTGCACGACCTCCACCTCCTCCCCTCTTATCAGAACTGGTCATGGAGTGCCTCTTTCCCTCCTGAAGTCAATGACCAGTTGATGACCAGTCAATGACCAGTTTGTTACCTTTATAGTTCATAGAGATAACAAAATTTAATAAATTAAATCAGGCACAAAAAAAAAAAAAAAAAAAAAAAAAAATTTTTTCCAAAAAAATTTTTTTTAAAAAAAAACTTAAAAAAATTTAAAAAAAACCCCAGGGAAAAAAAAAAAAAAAAAAAAAAAAAAAAAAAAA